GATGCTGTTTTTTGCAATGTAGCCTCCTTCCTAAAAGACTCATTTCATGGTCTAAATAACTACTCGAACTCATTGCTTCGTGGGATTAAACTGGTTGAGTGAGATGCTGACGACATATTTTATGAAATGCCATTTTGGCGTAGTTTAAGAGATTTAAGCATTGGCAGAGTCCATATGTGGTAATTAAGAAGTCTATGTTGTGTAATTTACTGAAATGGTAAAACCATCATGTACATCATCACAAACTAGTGTGTCTGTAACATGGTTACATACTTGAATGTTTTAATCCTAAAACAAATGACCATTGGGAGGGGAGGTTCACCTTCCTCTCCAGCATGTGGGTGCATATCAGTTGCCAGGATTATGTGAGTATATCTCACTTAATCTTTTCCCTACCATTGTAGGGGCCTCAAGCACTGGTGCACATTGGTCCCTCCTATTCTCTTCCTGTGGCACAAAATAGCCTTAGTTTCTGGTGGGTTGTTGTGCTTTCTTTGGTCTAATTTGGTGGTTGGGTTTCGTGTGTGAGTGCTGGGTGATATTGGTGGCCTCTGATATACAGGAGGTCAGACTAGAAAATCCAGTGATCCCTCCTGGCTGGAGACTCTGGCTCTATCTAAAAAGGGTGCTGAAAGTTTTCAAGACAGTTTTAAAAGATCACTCTCTCATTTGTTACACATTTATTCCACGAATTAAAAAAATGAGATTGGCTCGGTCTTTTTGAAGGTTTCATCCAAAGTGTCTCTATTCTTTAGCAATAGATTACAATAAACAATGTAGCATATTCTGTTGTCGCAATCATTTCAGGTACCACTGAGCTGCAGCCATCCAACTAGATGGACCATAGGTATGACCCACTGTGGCCATTCTTATGTTCATCTCTGGGGTGGAAAGTAGCAACTCTTATTATTCACAGTAATCGCATAAAACCGCTTTGTCTTATGAAGTGAAGAATATTTTATTGTATTGAAACTGTAGAGGGAAATATGACCAACTGTGATTACTCAAAGTAATATTTGACCAGGACACTGAGGTTAGCACCTCTACTCTTGAGGGGGGTGGGGTGGGGAAAGTGCTATGAGATCTCTCACTTCAAGTGGCAAAGGACCTTAGTTGTACATCTAATTTCAGACAGCATCTCCAGCAGCAATAGTTCCTTACAATGTGCTCTTGCATTGGTTCAGTACCATCTCAAAGGGAAGAGTGACACCTACTGAATCACCAGCACCACTTCCTGTAGCACCGAGGTTTTCCATAGCACTGTCTCATCCAAATACGTAGTACTGATATATACCAGAACTGCTTCGTGTATGAGATTTGAAGAGATCAAAGTCCTGGGTGTATGGCTGCATGTATTGATGCAAAATAAGCTCAGGTTACCGTACCATGGCACACAGATGTCCATTTAAAGAGGTAGGAATCCTTTATTAGTGTGGGTGTTGGAACTAGTAATTAAAAAATGCTAATTATAATAGACTGCAATAAAAGTAAAATGAATAACTCCCCGTGGAGCAGTAGTGTTATCTGCCCTGAATTTGAACCTTTCGTTCCTATACATGTTCAAATACATTGCTACTAATGGTTTCTTCATAGACATACTAATAATTGATGTAATATTTTACTTCTATTATCACAAAAATTAGAAATGTCTTTTAAAAAATTAAAGCAATAAAACTTTTCATGCTTCTGGGTAAATACTCTAGTGTATTTCATCAGAGTCTCTCCTGCAAAATATTTAAATATCTGCCCATAAATATGGATGAAATTAAAAAAACCTCAGATACATTTGTCCTATAAACTCTTCTATTCATTCCAGCATGACTAAAAATCATGTCTTTCTTTATGGATCCTCTTCTGACAACTTTATCTGACATAGTATGAAAAAAACCCTCCAGCCTTTGCCGTGTGCTTGCCCACCCCAAAACCAAAATTGGACCTTTAATTTTGCAATAAAGTTAAATAAATCTCATACCATGAACACACTGGTTGAACCTCCATTAGAACCTCTGAATATATGTTCAAAATATATAGGTTTGATTTTTTCATTGATCACCTGGCTGATACAATGGGTGTATTAACTGCATAGAATTAAACCAAGAATTTTGAGAATACTTGACCCTGTACTGTACGAACAGCACATGGAAAAAGGATTATTGAAATGATGATTACAGTATGAACACACACATTTACTTACTGACTGAAAAATAACTTAGCATATTCTTAGTAGAGAACTACTTAGATTTTTCCGCATCCTGACTAATGACAGAAATGGGGCAGGACTTTGACACAGTCTCCCTGCCTGGCCTAACAACTTGGGCTCTTTCTCTCATGATGGGTAACTCAAAAAATGTAAATAAATTGAGTTAACTCTGCAGTGAAGACATAGAATCATAGAATCATAGAATATCAGGGTTGGAAGGGACCCCAGAAGGTCATCTAGTCCAACCCCCTGCTCGAAGCAGGACCAATTCCCAGTTAAATCATCCCAGCCAGGGCTTTGTCAAGCCTGGCCTTAAAAACCTCTAAGGAAGGAGATTCTACCACCTCCCTAGGTAACGCATTCCAGTGTTTCACCACCCTCTTAGTGAAAAAGTTTTTCCTAATATCCAATCTAAACCTCCCCCACTGCAACTTGAGACCATTACTCCTCGTTCTGTCATCTGCTACCATTGAGAACAGTCTAGAGCCATCCTCTTTGGAACCCCCTTTCAGGTAGTTGAAAGCAGCTATCAAATCCCCCCTCATTCTTCTCTTCTGCAGGCTAAACAATCCCAGCTCCCTCAGCCTCTCCTCATAAGTCATGTGTTCTAGACCCCTAATCATTTTTGTTGCCCTTCGCTGGACTCTCTCCTATTTATCCACATCCTTCTTGTAGTGTGGAGCCCAAAACTGGACACAGTACTCCAGATGAGGCCTCACCAATGTTGAATAGAGGGGAATGATCACGTCCCTCGATCTGCTGGCTATGCCCCTACTTATACATCCCAAAATGCCATTGGCCTTCTTGGCAACAAGGGCACACTGCTGACTCATATCCAGCTTCTCGTCCACTGTCACCCCTAGATCCTTTTCTGCAGAACTGCTGCCTAGCCATTCGGTCCCTAGTCTGTAGCGGTGCATTGGATTCTTCCATCCTAAGTGCAGGACCCTGCACTTATCCTTATTGAACCTCATCAGATTTCTTTTGGCCCAATCCTCCAATTTGTCTAGGTCCTTCTGTATCCTATCCCTCCCCTCCAGCGTATCTACCACTCCTCCCAGTTTAGTATCGTCCGCAAATTTGCTGAGAGTGCAATCCACACCATCCTCCAGATCATTTATGAAGATATTGAACAAAACCGGCCCCAGGACCGACCCTTGGGGCACTCCACTTGATACCGGCTGCCATCTAGACATGGAGCCATTGATCACTACCCGTTGAGCCTGACAATCTAGCCAGCTTTCTACCCACCTTATAGTGCATTCATTCAGCCCATACTTCCTTAACTTGCTGACAAGAATACCGTGGGAGACCGTGTCAAAAGCTTTTCTAAAGTCAAGAAACAATACATCCACTGCTTTCCCTTCATCCACAGAACCAGTAATCTCATCATAGAAGGCGATTAGATTAGTCAGGCATGACCTTCCCTTGGTGAATCCATGCTGGCTGTTTCTGATCACTTTCCTCTCATGCAAGTGCTTCAGGATTGATTCTTTGAGGACCTGCTCCATGATTTTTCCAGGGACTGAGGTGAGGCTGACTGGCCTGTAGTTCCCAAGATCCTCCTTCTTCCCTTTTTTAAAGATGGGCACTACATTAGCCTACATACCCTATAGTTCCTAGTGGTTTTAAAACCAGTGGGCTTTTTTTAATAAATTCCCCAGTGTAGACAAAGCTATTCTCCTGTGCACATTATGGATCAGCAGGACTTTTCTGAACACACACCTCTAGATTTAACACTTAGCCGGAAAGACTTTAATAGAAAATACCACACATGTGGTCCAGGTGAGGTCACTGTCGGAGGCTTGATGTTCGCATTTCCTCTGAAGTTGCATCCGATGAAGTGAGCTGTAGCTCACGAAAGCTTATGTTCAAATAAATTGGTTAGTCTCTAAGGTGCCACTAGTACTGCTTTTCTTTTTGCATTTCTTCTGTCTTTGTTTTACTCTGTGTGCAACATTAGCACTGCAATAACATAGTTTTAGGCAGCTGATAGTTTTAAACACCTTGAGGATACACTAAGGTACTTCACCATTTTTATTTTTGAACTATATCAGAATATGTGTGGGGAGAGAAATGATTATTATTTGCTTGGTCCTTCTTCTTGCTCTCTCTCTCCCCTGGTTCTCCACTCTCTGACCTCTTAGGGACATGTTCTCCCTGTCTTCACACTATACCTGGCAGATTTCAAAGATGCACACTAAGCTCCAGGAGAACCATCTGATTCCAGTGAGGTGGTCACCTTTACACCATCTTTCTGCTTAAAATGCACCAACTCTTGGCTCCCCATTATAGAGATCAAGGCCTCAATTCAACAAGGTGCTTAAGCACATGAATAATCCCATTACTTCAGTGAGACTACTTACATGATTAAAATTAGGCATGTGTTTAGAACCTTTCTGAGTGGAGGCCCAAAAGGAAGCCTCACGAACAATAATTCACAAACAATAATTAGTTAAGAGGCTTGTCTCTAATACTGGCTTCTAGGTGAAATTTGCTGATGACTCTCTTTTTCCAAAAAGGTCCATGTTAGGAGCTGATCCTGGGTGCAAAAGAAAGTTAGCGATCTTGGGTGAGATCGCTCGTGTAATTTTGTCCTTCTTTCACATTGTTTACTCAAGATTTATCTTTTCTGTTTATCATAAATAAATATGCAGGTTGCTAGAAGTGCTTTTATATGTCAGGCTTGTTATTGTATTCAGGAACAAACTGATGCTTTAGTCTATTTCGCAGCAAATTGTCACTGAGTATAGACTGCACAGAGCATTGAGTTTAATGTGTTTTCTTTGTTTCTTTGCAGAAAAATGAAGTGACAGGTGCTTACCCTCATTTTTTCATGCTAGCTTTGCCATGCCATTTTCACCAATAACGAAGGCAGCTGCCAGAGCTCGAGGAAGTCGGGCGAAAAATTCAGCTGGCAGGTAGACCCAGTCACTTTAAGAAACGTAATCTTATGTTAGCAGATGGCAATTAAAAGGCAGAAGAAATAAAATTTTGTCTCCGTTTTCTGCACTGTTACATCAATTAAATCTGCAACTGAAATGCAAGCAGAAAATATAATTTATTTTCATGTGGCTACACAACATGATTGTGTTCAAATCTAATTATTTACTTTGCAAAAACTACAGCAAATTTTAATCGAAGCAAAATAACTAACGATTTCCAAAGAAAGTTTATAACTAGATATTAAATCTGCAGTCTTTAGGCCTTGCATGTCCTAGACCTACCTAATAGCATTGCCTCCTTATTCTTCATTTACTAGAAACCCAAAGTTTAGGTTCAGAAATCAGCTATTTATTTCCAATTTGCAGTAATATCAATTGCAATCCTAGCAGTCTCAGCGATTCTTGGTCTTAGTGGAAAACTACATCAGGTCTCAGGGGGCCCTTCCTGTTAAAAGAAGAGTTCCAGAAACTCCAGGACTGAACCTGTTCGCATCTGTCATAATTTGCTGGCAAGAGCAGTCATAATCTTGCAGGAAAATAACTTTTTGACTCAGACAAGAATTCTGAAAATTTAGTAATTCCTAACATGTATTTGTCTTTATGAACGCAACTAGAGTCATGAAAAACATGTGCAAATCTAGAATCTGCAAATCAGTCGAAGTGTGAAATAACTACATAATTAAAGCTCATTATGGTATTGATGAAACTGAAATGTTGCTGAAGTTATGTCACTCTTTCCATTACAAGCCCTAATTTGTAGGGGTTTATAAATCAGTCATAAAAATTCACACAAGCTCAAAATTTACCATATAAAGCCTGTCTGGAATATTTTTTCTAAAAACCCATTTGGTCATTTTAAATTTGTGCATGTTTAAAGAAAAAAGGGGTATGTGTGGCTTCAGATGCTTATTTTATGTTTCTACACCTGAAACCAGCTTTGGTTTTGGTGCTGAGATCTTATGTCCCTTGCATGTACCTTGTGCAAAGTCTGCCTTAAACCAAATGAAAAATGACAGAGATATTTTTGAGTTCCTCTGGACCAAAGGACCAGTTCCTGCTATAATAAAAGATAACTGAAGTTTTATCTTTTGTTTTGAATGGGATCAGGATTTAGAAATAGTTTTGCAAACAACATTTTGAAAGTAGTTTTTTTTTTAAGCACAATGGATGGGCTGAAATGCAAATGATTGAGTAAACAGATTGTAGTTTAACAATTGATCAGAGGTGTTACAATCTAGTCCATTTGATAAATACCTGTATTAAAATAGATGTATAATACATTGGATGATTGAGTTCACGTGATGAAGAATGTACATCAGTTTTTAACTAAAGATCACATTCAAACCATATTTCCTTCAGTATTGGAATGACTCCAAGTGATTAGAACCTTTGAATCTGGGAAATTCTACTTGGAAATTCAATCATGCCTCACGCTGAATGATACACATTATGTTGAAGAAAACTGAAAGGGACTGCTACAATTAATTACATTTAATAGTTAATAAGGAGAGAACATTACCCCCTTCTTTTTTGGCGTGAAGTCGATAATATTGGTGTGAACCAACAGCATGATCTCTGGTTGTGAGAGATGGACTGCGACGATGGTCTCTGTTTATGAAAAGTTGCATGGAGGACAAGCAGTTGAAGGCATTGAATTTCTTTGGAGACAAGTTACCTCTAGGTCGTAAGCTCTAACATAGGATAGGTTAGTAGTGACTGCAAGCATAGCCATCTTACGGATGTGATGTATGAGAAATGAGTTTGTGATTTGTTTTCAGTTGGTCTCGGTGGATTCTCCATCACTGACCACTTTTTATGTTAGGATTGGCTGTTTCTCTGAAAGATCTGCTCTAGGAATTATTTTGGGGAAGTTCTATGGCCTGTGTTATATAGAAAGTTGGACTAGATGATCACAGTGGTCCCTTCTGGCCTTAGAATCTACTGTTGAGTAGGTGTCATAGTCACAAAATAAACCTGCCATTACAGTTGCCATTAATCAGCACCGTGTTGATGGTCTTAGTCCAGAGGCCAAGCAGGGAGTTGAGACCGAAATACTTCTTAGCCCTTGGCATGTTCCCTTCATGTCAAGGTTAGGGTTCATTAGCAGGGTAGCGTGAGGAAGCATAAAGAGAGGACCTTGGTTTCCAGAGGTATCAACCTTTCCCAATCAGGTTATTTACTAAAATATCTTGGCGACACCTAGAAAATGCTGTGTGATGAAAACTGAACAGGTATGAAGTGTGGCACATCTCTTGTAACTTTTACTATGTTCAAGCTGTGTAAGCAGTTTCAGTGCTCATGTAAGTGAGTGCCTAATGGCACCATCCATTGCTGGGTGTGTTGCAGGAAAGTGTTTGTGAAAGGCATTTAGTTTTTTTCCGTCATCCTCATAGTCCTGACCTGCAATGCCCTCATTATTCCAGGCTTGGATCTTTCTCCAGCAAAGACTACTATTCTTCCTAAGTCGTGTGGTTCTGGAATAAGGACAGACGTTCACTAGAGTTTTAGGAGTGAGACCACCTAGCTTGTTTCTCCTCAGTGACCTAAGACAAGATTGAATCCAGGACTCTAAAGGTGAAAAGGCTTAGGCGTAACCCATCCTCCCCAACTCTTAACTTTTAACTTCCTAGGTTTTGTCATTACCTTAATGAGATTTAGATGCTTTTGTATTTAATACATTACAAATGGAATAAAGGAATAAATGAGCCAAAGAAAATGCAAAAGAAATCTTTCATAGCAGATCTGTTACACTGGGTTGCCCTTGATAATGTTACTATTTTCCCCTTTTTCAACAGCCATTGTAATTTGGCATCTAGAAAGATATTCTTGCACTGCTAAACCCTTCTCTTTCCTTAGAGCCTAAGCATCTCGTCTCTAATTTGCTCAGTCAATGATAGCTCCAGGCTTTAGATCTGGAAGCTATGTGTTTGGCTTTCCCACATGTACAAGTATGTAACAATCTACTGACTCATGGGACAACTGGAGCTGCGTTTTAGTTCGTTGCTGTACAAGATGCCAGGGCTTGCTGCCTTTGCACTCAAACCAGTGTCCTCTGGGAGTATGCATCCACTCAGATTCTGAAATGGGCAAAATTGTTCAGAGTGGGGTCTTCCAAAAAATTAGTATAGGGTCCCATTCTAAGGATTTCATGCTGAGGAGGGAAGTAGAAGAATGATTAGCGTAGTGCCTTCTTTCACCAAAAAACCAAGGAGGAAGTGAGAATGGGAACCAAGAGATCTGGAAAATATGAAAAGCTAAACAGATGCAGTTAATATTTTAAAGAATATGGCCAAGATTTTCAAAAGTGACTCAGCTTTTGTGTGTTCACACTGAGAATTAAGTGGACCTGATGTTTCAGAAAGTGCTGAGTTCCTGCTCTCTAAAAATCAGGCCTCTTTAAAATGTCTCCTGTAGTTCACCCGAAAGCACTAGTCACTTTTGAAAATCTTGGCATCTTGGTATTTACAAACCGTGGGGACTCTCACTTAGGAACATTGTAAGAAAATCCTTTCTCCACGTGCAGTTTCTGAAAGACAGAAATGTTGGCAACGGTGAAGGAATGTGATTGGTAAATCAATTCAAAGGAGTTAAGGATCCAGATAAAGAGGGGGGCAAGGTGGGAGGTAGAGAGTAGTTGGAATTCAGTTTGACATTTTCTTTTACGACTCTTGCCCTCAGTGAGTTCATGCCGTAATAGTAATTTCTCAGCAGAGTGTCAGGTACATAAAAAAGTGTGATAGCCCTCTCTGCTAACTTGGACTGCCTGCGAGACATTTTTATCATTCGTTCATTATTATTATTTTAACTAACTATGAGCCTGAGCCTGCTCCCATTGAAGTGGAATGGCAAAAATCCCACTGCCTTCAACAATACAAGCTCAGGTCGGATGCTCCCAATTGCTGTTTAAAGAAGGACAAGTGGCTGTCTGTGGCCATATTTATATTGTGGGGGTTGGGATTTAGGCTCTGATTTGTTAATGAAGTGTATGAGAGGGTAAAATAGTAGCTGCTTTTACGCTGAGAAAATGAGTTTGATGTGATTTTGGAGTATTGATATTATTCATTACCAGATGGAGCCACTCCATCAGCATAATAGCTTTTCTTGGACAGTATTCTGATCCAGTGGATAAACTTAAATAATTACTCTACCACCACACTAAAAAAAAAAAAACAACCCAACTCATCTAGATTCCTTGATTTCTAATTTGTTCAAGTTGATGGGAAACTGATAGGCTGGAGTTTCAATGCCTCTGACATGCTATCACTCAGCAACATTCAAATGCAGAATATTTTAAAATCAAATCTGCAAGCCTGCACACTACTGTGAAGAAATGTGTCAACAGATGCTGTCAGCTCCTTGCCTCCTGACAGGCTGTGCAGACTTCAGAACATTCTGAGCTGTAGCTTGTCCATCAAATCAGAAAATGTCTTTTGTGGGGCAATTGATCGTTATTTTTTAAAAGGCCAGAACTAGACAGTAATTGTAGCTAATGTTTAAGGTCTGCTGTCAGTGTAGGGTGCAGAGATGAGCAAGTGAAACTTCATGCAGGGAATGAAAGCAGTAGCATTCTTGCAATAGAAGGAAACCCTGTAGACAGTCACACTTTATTAATTTGAATTCAGATAGGGATGAAGTGTCCAGAATGGCTAATTGAAAACTGTTTCTCTTCCCCAGCCCTGGGAACAGAGACAAATGCTTTAGAGAGACAAGGTGGGTGAGGTAATATCTTTTACTGGACCAACTTCTGTTGGTGAGGGAGACAATCTTTTGAGCTTACACTGAGTTCTTCTTCAGATGCTTTGGAGCAGTTGTGCTGTACATCACTGATCTTGTTGGTTCTTCCTGCTCTCATTATAGCATATAATGTTCTAGTTTTTCAAGAGGCACAGCATTGCAATGCCACAGATTCTGTATTATGAAAAAATCCTTTGCTCACGAGGTAACTTTAGTTGCCATTATCTTTGGTTCTCGTGAGCTGGCTTGGCTGGGTAGAGTCAGGTGTTTCTGGTTTGCACTGAAGGGGAAGATAATACATGGAGTCACCGGATTCAATTGGTTTAATATTTTGCATGCCAGTTTAATAGGTTGTTAGGCTGAAATATCTTGTTACAAGATAAAACAGGGTTAAAAGAAATTCTGTCTGTTTGCTCCACAGACTTGTATATGGTATCTCGCACACTTCCATGTGCTTTTCTTATCTGGTGTCTTCATGAGTTCATAAATATTCTTCTGTTGCCAATGGCTTAACAGCTATATGTTTCTCATGTAACACAAACTGAAAGGCTACTTCCTTAAGGCGACACAAAAATGGAGGTAAGAATTCACTATTTTTAAATTATTTCTTGCAAAGCTTAGTCTTGAGTTAAAAGATAAGACGATGAAACTGTATACTTCCAAGAATCCCAATACACGTTTAAAATATGCTTTGATTGCTATCCTTTGTTCATAAGTTAAATCTGATTTTTCTGTATTTCATAATAGCCTATACTTTTGTTTTTCCTGGCACAAAATTCCTTCTGTAATGTCCTTCAGTTAGTGGAAGGCAGAATGCTCTCCCTGAGAGAGATTAATTTGTTTCACTGGAATTTCATACTGTCGGATGACAGTCTTCTCTGGCACACATTAAATTCACCACAGTCAACAGTATACATGAAATCATAATCAAAGACAGATGCCTTTCCCTGTTATAAATAATCATTGCTTCTTGCATATGCCAGGAAAAATCCTTGTTTAGACTGGTCTGTCTTACTTTCTTGGACCTCAGTATTTCCCTTGGCCTTCCCCTTTTTCATCTTTTCTCTGCCTCTAATTCTTTATATTTGCCTAAGGAAATAAAAGGAATGGGAAAAGTATTTTTTGGCACTCTCCATATTCTCACTGGATTACCCTATAGCATGAAATTAAATACACATGACATGTAAGAGGGGAATGGCCTTTTAATTTATAGAAGAAAAACACAGTTCAAAATAAATCTGTGCTTTCCTGTTTGTTCGTGTGTTTGATGGGAGCATGTCACATGCTCCTGCAAAACCAGTGTAAAAGCTTTGTTCAGAGTAGGATTAATTTTTTGGAACCAATGAAATATTTCATATAATATCAAACAGCAAATTATACACTTTTAAATTGGTGGTCAAATTTATTTGAACTCCAACAAAACCAGAATATTACTGTTAAATACAAATATTTTGTTTGCGTCTTGTACAAGCCACAATCCTCCAACTTAAAAATACCTTTCAGATACAAATGAGCTTTGAGGGCATTCAACACCAAGTTGGAAGCACTCATCTTCTTGCTGGACTCGTCCCTAAGTGGTTTGTAAATGAGAACACTGAGTACGGACTAGAACATAAATGGCAGCACCCAGTATAATTAAGGTGTCACGACAGTTTTCATGCTAGTCCCAGATTTCAACTTTCTGTAATTTGGGCCTTTTGAGTTAAAATTAACCAGCTTTATTTTCTGTCTGAAAATAAATTTTATTTTGAAAGTTTGAGCAAAAACAGCCCAGCTATTTTTGAGTACAGGAGCGAGGGTGGAAAGGCGAAACACACCAATGTTGTTTAAAAAGAAAAAAAATAACAACAAACTATTTGACTTCATTATGATCAGCTTGACAACTAAAACAGCAAGACGTTTGGCCTGGAAATAGCCCTCATTGTGAAGTAGTGTCTTTGAGTGATTAGTGAAAATTGGTTTTGATTTGCACTTTGAAAACTGCATGTTGCACATGTGCAATATATTTTGCAGGGTTTTCTGCTAAGGTTGTAAAGTGCACAACTAGGAAAGCTGCACTATGCCTTCCTAGCTCAGTAACAGACTGAAAACGGTACTGTAGGTGTGTATAGTGAGCCAAAGGTTCTTTGGGGCAAAGTTAAGGTTGCACATGCATTTCTTGACTTTCAAGTGCTTTATCCAGGCAAATTTAATGTTCTCTTAACACAGGGGTTTTGTACAGTATTTTATTCTTGGGGTGAAGCCCGTTGCATCACTTAAGTTCTACAGTGGGCTATGGAGGGATTTCTCTGCATCAGCTGTGCACTGTGGAGGGTTTCTCTGTGCCAGCTGGCCAGAGAGTGACAGTGGAAATGGTTAGGGGAAGAATTCCTCATAATCTATTACTATAGCGTGGGCAATAGCACAAAGTAGTTGTGTGGAGTCTGGTCTGCAGTTCTGCCCAGGGCTTTAGATTGGGGGTCCATCCTCATCCCCGTGACCCCACTTACATCTATATAATCTATAAATCTAGATATTTTTTGCTGTGTGTCTGAGCAGGTAATTCTGTGTCACCATTTCACCTCTGCATATTGCATTCTGGGCTTCCCACTCTTCATTCTCCATTCTTTTGGTCAGTCCTTGAAATAAAAATGATTGGTCTTTGGCTGCTACACAACCAACATTAGGAACCCTAATCTTTTTAAACATCTAAACACTATCGCTGACAAGCCCTTATCATGTTCTTTCTAGTTGTGGGATTTTGGGCAATGGCCTGTCATTAAAACATAGGTGGTGTCCCATGGCTTTGCAGGGAGGCTTGTCAAGTATGCCTAGTACGTCAGTTTCACTGTTCATTGATTTCACCACCAAAGACCATGCTGCAGAAATGTCTGCTTGCATGATGCACTGTGCTCTGACACTGGTAGGACTGAGGTTGGTACTGCAGAAGTAATAGGTGTGATCATGCTTATGCCATCCATCCATCAGTGCAGCTTTCTGCTGAGAACAGTAATTTAATAATGGCCAGCAAGATGGGGCAATAGGTTTTTGTTTTTAAATCCTAGCGGGTTAGCTTTTAAAAAATGGTATGGTAAACTCCAGGTTCAGCTGCTAGTCCCCTTCTAAGAGCAATGGCATTCCCACCACACTGCTGCCACACACATATATTAACGGTCAGTGCTATTCATGATAATTTGAGTGCTGACAAGTGCTACTTTTCGGGGGGAATGGTGGAGAGGGTGGTGTATAAAAATAGCCAGCAGGGGCCAGTTACCTAAGTAATTACTGGCACTCTTCTGCTTTTCCCCAGAGGGAAGGAAAGAAAGAAATTGCTAGAGGCAGATGTCCCTTAGGATTCAGAGTTTTCTCTTTTCTCAGGTCTTTCTCCTGTGTAAAGGCACATCAAAATATTATGAGGCAAAGGAGAGCTTGATCAGTTCCACCCTTAAAACATACACTCAAGCTTGTCAACAACTCCTATTCATATTAATGAAACATTTCACTGACTCAAGCTCTTTAGCAGAACCTACTTTGATTTAATATCCAGTTCAAGTGGACAGTTCAGATACCTGATAAACACCCACTCCTGGCATAAAAATGGCTTATCAGAACCCATCTCCTGAGAAACCACTGCAAATAGGTGGGCTGTAACAAAACTGGCTCTCAAGATATCAGTGAGTGGATGTCAGGGCAACATCTGCTTTGCCTATTATAATTTTTCATGGTGCTCTGCTGCTCCGGGAATCACTTAAGGATATAATAATAGAATTCTAGTGAACTAACATCCCCTGTTTCAGATGTCTTGGCAAGATATTTTCTTTCTACTGCAGACTGAAGAATCTGCAGGCATTAAGCTTACCTCTATTTTTCTCGCTATCTAACATACAGATGATTAACTGTGCAGAGCACATATAAGCAGAGTACAAATCACAGTATATGTATGCAGTCAGGCACTATCTTCTACAGCATGTTCAACTTTGACACCATTCTCTGATAATATAAGTCCAGGGACTGTGAGAATGAGGACCAAGCCAAACATGAAATTATTGCTGAAATTCCTGCTGTATCTGAAGTACACTGAAGACTTTTCAAAGGATTTATATTATTAAAGGGCATATATTTCCTGATAGCTGATATTCTATGTTTTGGGTTAAGTCATGGCAGAGGTGTCAGACTGAAAAATTGCCTGATGTATATTTATACCCATTTAATCTTCCATCGGACAAGTGGGCCACATATCATTGATGAAATGAATGTAGTGTGTGACTCGCCAGCTTTGCTTGATGTAGCTTGATCCTATGTGTAGGCTTACAAAACCAATATATGAAATAAGTTATGGAGGAGTTGTCCGTGTGGGTTGTTTTGGGTGGGTTTTTTGTTGTGTTTTGTTTTTTTTAGACTGCTGTTTGAATTCTCTAAGTTCTGGTAACAGTGGGAAACTAGAAGGCAAACTGGTGCAGTGACCGTCTGACCATTTGGCCCACCCCTTGAACCAAGCTACTTTTGGGCTAGAAGAACCGCAGACACTTAGGTCTTGTGTGTATGCAAAAGTTGCACCACTTCAACTAAAATCAGGTTTTAAATCTACTTAGTTAAACCAGTGCACCATAGATATACTTAAATCTCTTTACTTTTAGAGTTATATCTTAAATCTGGTTGATCTTGATTTAGTTTAAATCAGTCAATTACCAAATTAAGCTAAATTGATATAAACCAGTTGTACACTGAAGGAAGGTCGACGCACACTTTGAGATTAAATCATCCCTTGGTTTACTGTTATTTTGGTAACAATGACAAAAGCTAAATGAATATAAGCCAGATGTAAACACATGCAAGGGTTTGCTCCGGCTTAGCTTAATTGCTTTTGAAACCTGATTTTAGTTAAAGTTTTGTCTGCAGACAAGGCCTGAACCTCTTACTCCTCCAAGTGATCTATCCCAGTCAGGGCCAGTGTAGGGCATGGCACTGCTGCCTGCTCGGTCTGTTCTGTGTATAAATGCAAATCACAGCCTGCAGAGCTGTCAATCCAGGACTGTTCATGAGTGCTCAGTGGTTGTGCATTCATCTTTGTGTAGCTCTACTAAATTTGCCTTCTTTTTGACTGATGCCTTCTAGTCACTTGCAGCTAAACCTCTCTCATTCCTTCTTCCCATCAGCTAATGGAGGATAGCTCTAAATTGCAACCTAAACGAGTATGTGTTTTCCATCTTATTACATATTACATCAGCAAGATGCCCAGCTTAATCTTACTGATAAATGGTGAGGTTGTTTGCGTGAACCCATGTGAAGAAACCCATTCATAGGTTTGTGCACAATAATGTACTATTTAGAATTTCAAAGGCAGTGCTGTCAATTGCAAGCTCACTGTTAAAATAACAATAAATAGAAAAGCCCACCATGTTAGCGCTCTAGAAGAATCTCCAATAACTGTTATAGGCATTAGGTTAAATCACTTACAGGACTGAGCAAGGCCCGCATGGCTTGGTTTCTGGGAGGTACACGTACTGACCCTAGCAAGGTCTGTTTGCAGGCATTAGTACCAGGCCAGGCTCTCCAGGTTCACCGGGAAATCAGCCTTCCAGCACATCTCATTTTACCTAAACCTCTCCTCCTGCTCCTTAACTTTCAAGCTTTGTAGCAGGATTCAGCTCCCTGTTCTGGCTGGATTGCCTTCTCTATGGCTCTCTTTAGGTACTGAGGTGGCCCCTGCTACTTGCTCCGTGTCTCAGCAGACTTTTAATGAGGCTTCCAGATAGGCTACTGCAACTGTCTCTTTCAGTCGTTAAGAGTCTTCAAGGAGGTAAGAGTCTAGGATTATTCTCGCTAATATGTGTTAGCAAGGAAACCCTACTTTGCTACCTATCCAATGCAAAGGATGAGATTCTACCTTCCTGTGATTATTGACACCATTTGAGCTTGACTAGTTTTTCACTCCCACTGCCCATTGGGAGCAAATTAAGGTGCTCTTGTCTCCCTGAAAGCCCTTTGTGATGATTGGGTGGTCCTTCCTCCTGGCCCTCCCAAGAGTTGACTGAGCCACCCAGCATCTCCTGAAGAACCCAAGCAGGTGGGTGTCATCTGTTCTTAGCAGGGAGTGGAAACAGGGATCCCAGCCTCCCAAAGATATCTACTGATAAGTGTCAGAGTTTGAGCCTAAAGGTCGGTGGAGTATTTGCCAAGAGAAAGGACTGGTGAGTGCAAGTCAAACAGAATTCACCATTGCATGTCTGAGTGGATCCTCACATTCATTAAAAATCCTGATTCCAGGTTGCTTTAGGTTCTATGTGAATGTTTTTCATCATCACAATATCTTTGTAGGTCAGCCACTACGATGAAAGACTATCATACACTTGAACAGGTCTGAATTTCCATTCAGGAGGGAAGGAATTTGTACACAAAACCCATCCAGCAGCACATCAGTGTGTGTCAAAGGTATGTGAATGGATTCGGGGTGATCAATGACTTGGTGTTGCCTGGAGTTGCTGATTACTCCAGGTCCATTTATAAATCACTGTTTAAACAATAGCCATTTTCAGGAAGGTTTGATCTTAAAACAATTAGGTGGATGTTTCCATAATAATACACTGCCACGGTAGTTTGACACTGCGCTCTTGAGTCACTATAACTGACATTCTGAAAGAAATGAAATGAGTGGTAGAAGAGGATCAGGTTATTCCATTAATTATTTTGTCTCACAGACTAACAGCTAGTCCCTGTTCAGATGGATTCAGACGTTTTATATGAGCCACATGGTTGGTATCTAGGTATTCAGTTACAAGATTCTGAAATAAAGTTAATAACCCCAGGTTTAAAACTCCATTGAGCGTTTGGTTTTACAGCATTCCACTCCCTCTTCCATTGCCCAGCTTCTTCCTTTTGGTTTAGTAGCTGAATAACTTTGGAAGGGGCCCTGTGCTTTTGTAACATAAAAGCGCATGCACACAAAGATGGAGGCAGAATGACTCAACTGCTGGCATTCTTGCTTTTGAGCAATGGCCATCCATCTCTCACAAGTACCTGGCTCACAGCCAGTGGTAATACAGCAGCGTAGGGCTCTGGCTGGCCTGTTAGGGTATGTCTGCACTGCATGCAATTAGACACCCGTGGCTGTACCAACTGAGTTGGACTTGGACTAAGGGGCTGATTATGGATGTTCAGGATCGTGCTGCAGCCTGAGCTCTGGGACCCTCCCGTGTCACAGGGTCCTAGAGTCTGGGCTCCATCCCGACCCTGAATGTCTACACCACAATTGAACAACCTCCCCATCCCCATGTGTCTCTGTGCCGCCACTCAGACACCCTCGGTCCCTCAGTGGTAGCCTTACAAACCCAGTGATAATGAAAAGCTTTCCAATTTTCTTAATTTGAAAACCATTGAAGTCAGTGGGGTTACACGGTTGTGTTTGGGGGCAAAATTGCACCCCCCAGTGTTTTACACGGTTTGTAAAGTAATCAGAAATACAATGTAAAAGAACATCTTAAAAGAATGATCTAAACCGTCATCTTCTAAAACTACTAGGCTTTGTTGCATCTCTTTCATTTTCAGGATTTTTTGTTGTGACATTTCAACTACTGCCTCAAAGTTCTGTTTAACAAAGAGATGCCTTAGCCTATTCCTTTTCAATGAGACAAGAAGGTGAAAGTGAAAATTAACCCCATACAATACTTTTCCATACTTCCCCTAAGAGACCAAATGATAGACTATAACGTTGTGGCAGTGATAGCTGACATATGGACTGGCAGGTGCTGTTGCCTGACATGACTTGACAGCTGGCAGGCTGTTCATGTGAAGAGACCGCTGTCTACCATGCTGACCAGTATTGTCTCATTGTTAGTTGTACTCATCTATCTGTCTGTATCCATCCGTTGTCTCGTCTTATACTTGGTTTTTAAGCAACTTGGGGCAGGGACCATCTTTTTGTTTGTACAGTGCCTAATACAATGGGGTCTATGACTAGGGCCCTTAGGCTTTATGATGATCATTGATAACCATACTTATGCCTATAGAAAAGCAGTACGGTTTGACACTGAATCAACCAGAACTTCTCTTATTGAAGAAAGCAAAATGTTGAGCGAGACAACCACCTAAAATCTGACAGTTTTCTAACTGGAGTTGGAAAAATGTCAGTAGTTTGTTTAGGGATCTGTTCCTCCCCTTTTGCAACTACCATTGAATGAGAAGTGTTCTGCTGTTAATACTTTCTGTCTTGCTCTGGCCAGTATTTTCTGTTGGATATTATTTGATGTTAATTTTTTAAGCAAGACTCAAGTTTTCTTCCTATGTTGTGTGCATAGTTGATGGTACCAACACGTTTTTTGTGTGCATAGCCTGGCTTTGTATATGCATGCCAGGCTTGTTGGCACTACTCCTGGGAGAATTCTGCACCAAAAACATTCAAAATTCTGCTCACAATATTTTCAGATTCTGCAAAATTCTGCATATTTTATTTGTCAAAATAGTACAATACAGTCACTCCAGTTTCAATTATTTTTGGTCATTTATTTCAAAATACCTGTCAGCAAGTAGGTCTATAACAATACAGACAACAAAAAAGATGCAGAAAATGTTTTTTGACAAATAGATTCCTTACTTGGCATATTAATACAGAACTCTGAGTAATAATTCATGTAAGCTACAATACAGAACCATATTTCTCGCACCTACTAGAAGCAGTTCAAAGGCTGTGGGGAGTCACTTGAAGCTGAGGGAGAGGAAAATAATTGCTGGGAAGGAGCCTGGGTGTGAACTTGGAAGGTTGTTGGGTATGCGTGGGAGAAGTATGGAAGAGGTTTTTTTTGGGAAGCGGGAAGGGACTGTTAGGGAGCTTCCCCCATGCAGACCCTGGCTGACCCCAGCCTCTCCCATTCAGTCAGGCACATGTGTCCCTCCACCCCCCACTCAGACATCCACTTCCCCCATCCCCATGTGGCCCTGCACCCCCTACCCATCCCCATATGTCTCTGTGCCCCCCCTCAGACACCCTCTGTCCCTATGTAGTGCTGCACCCCCTCCCCCATCACTATGTGGCCTTGTACCTCCACTCCCATTCAGCCCCTGCCCTAGTCTGTCCTCCCCAGCACTCTACACTGTCTGTCTCCCCATAGCCCGTGTCTCCTGACCTGACCCAATGCAAAGAAGGCTCTGCAGGCTCTTTCTCTTCCCTAGCTGTCTGGGAGCTGCTGCTGTGTTCTATCACCACAGTGCCCTCTGGTGGGCCTGCAGCAACTTTTCAGCAGAAGCTTTCTTCTGCGAAAAAAATAAAAAAATATGTGAGGCTCATTAATTATGCATGCACGCAGTGGCGCAGAATTCCCCCAAGAGTAGTGGGCATTCAGCTGCTTGAGTTGAGTAACGAAATCGATGTCTGTGCATATACAATGGCTGCATTGCCCTCTTTCTGGATGCAGTTGGTTGCCAGAATAAAGTAGGTGTACAAAATCCAAGGTCAGGGCTGATAACTTGATCTTGAGCATCAAAAATATCATATATTTTTGTATTGTCTTGCAGTAGCATCCAAAGGCCTCAATGAGGCCACTGTTTTACTAGATACTATGGACACATATAGTAAAAAAGACAGCATTTGCCCCAATATATACGTGCCATCTATACGTGTGACAGAGACAATAGGTTGAGAAAAACAGACAAGAAGGACAATAACTTAAGTAGAACAAATTTTTGGAAATAACTTTATAAAGGACCTCTCTCTATCCCTTGATCTAGGTTCTTAAACTGCTTCCACCATCACAGTATCTGAGGGCCTCATTAGCTTTTAAACATCAAAATAAACGTAAACTTTCTCTCTTTCTTCCCCCATAGTAGGAGTAAATAGATTCTTTGGATTATTTAGAGAAAGGTTTTGGCTTTTTGTTTTGCTTTAAATTAAGCACATTTTGAGGGAGATATAAATGAAGAAATTAATCTTGCTTTTTAGTTCTGAAAGTGATACGGTCTGGGGTCATTTTTCTCTCTTGTGATATTTAATTCCACAGCCTCCATCCAGCTCCTGAGAAAGTTCTGTCTCATGTGCTCATGGGTCAACAGATTCATTTTTCAATTATTGGTCAGGAGTTTCATTTTTTCCAATGGGATTTAAATGTTGTGGAAAGTCAGAGCCAGGAGGCTTTGAGGCAAAATTTTCAAACGTGTGCAAGGGACCTCTGAGTCCCATTGAAAACTGATAGGACTAGACATCAAAGTCACTTAGACACTATTGAAAAAATTGCCCTTGGTTTTAAAACAATTATGTCTACTATTCTAAAAGCATTATGTACAGACACTATTGTTCTGTAGTAATCGTGCCACCTGCAAACATGTACCTAAAAATATTAAGCTGGAACTATGGGATCCAGAAGTGATACGTAAAATTGGTGCATAAGCAAGACTCACACCTTTGGGTAGAATTGTGATTCAAAAATATATATATTGTAGTATAGCACAAAAGCCGTGGCTGTAAATGTACAATGTGAACTCCTACAATCTTTTAGTACTACAATCTTATTTTTTTAAATGGGACCATAAGGCATGACAGTGTTTCCCCCCCCCCTACATTCTAGTCTTAATTATTTTCCCCTAAATTTCATCTGCTATTGCTCATTTGTTTGTTTCCCCCTATACGGATGTAAAAGGTGGTGCAGAATGCTGATATGACACAAACTTTAATATCTACCCTTCATCTGCACTATTGTGAAATCTAGTGGGTGCTGTTTAAGCACATTTTTTACAAGTAGACATTTATTTATGGAAGGAGAAAGTGTTTTTATAAAAATATTACCTAATAGCTGGGGTACTTCAAGTTAATAAATCTGGAGTTACCCCTTCAGAATCAGCAATCGGCTTTTTGGATCCTATTTTAATTCAAGGTTTTCATGAGCAGGTATAAAATGCTGCTGGGTTTGTTGGCCTCTTAGCAGAGGGATTTTTTTTGTATAATAAGCGGGTTGTAATCTCTTCTCATATTCTGATTTTGGTTCTTTTTTTTCTAAATAATAATAGCAAAATAACAACACACTACAAGTTTATAGCACCTCATCAACTTGAGGCCCGATCCAAACCCCTTTGAAATCCGTGGAAAAACTTCATTTTGCTTCAGTGAGCTTTGGATAACACCATTCTTTGGAGCATAAAAAAATGCAGACTTCTTGTGACCTCTCACTACTGCATCCTTAAATCTGGATAAAGAGAAAATTGGTTTATAGATCTTAGCAATGGATCTGTGATTAAAAGAAAACACAACAAAAACCCAAAAGACCCAAAATACTGTACTATAGAGGGCATAGACTGGCGGGATATACAACAGGTAACAGTAAAATGTAAAAAATATGACAAACCAGATCAACTGCTACTAAAGCTACATCTAGACTAGCGATTATACGTATGTCCATGTCCGTGGCTGTGTCATAACCCTCCTGTTGTCCACATCTACACCTCACGAG